ACTGAGACCAGGTACAGACCTTAGACCTGAGACCAGGTACAGACCTTAGACCTGAGACCAGGTACAGACCTTAGACCTGAGACCAGGTACAGACCTTAGACCTGAGACCAGATACAGACCTTAGACCTGAGACCAAGTACAGACCTTAGACCTGAGACCAGATACAGACCTTAGACCTGAGACCAGATACAGACCTTAGACCTGAGACCAAGTACTGACCTTAGACCTGAGACCAGATACAGACCTTAGACCTGAGACCAGATACAGACCTTAGATCTGAGACCAGGTACAGACCTTAGACCTGACACCAGGTACAGACCTGAGACCAGGTACAGACCCTAGACCTGACACCAGGCACAGACCAGAGAGCTGAGACCAATAAAGTCAGCAGGAGTAGAACAGATTTAGTTCCACTGTGAGATAGTTCTTCTTCTGTGGTGTTTTTCAGCGTTYCTCCAGTGTTCCAGTGAAGAAGACTCTCCTGTCATCGTCTTTGTGTCGAAGATGTTCGCTGTGGATTCAAAAGCTCTGCCTCAGTTCAGACAGAGGTCTGCCCATCTATTAGCTATACGTCTATAAGCCTGTTTATGTTCCCCCTCAGACAGAACCTGTGGTCAGATGTACCTGGTGGGTTGTTGGGGTGGGTAGGTGCTCTTGGCTGAATCTTCYTTGTTGGGGTTCAGTGGCGTCTTTGGGTTGTGGGCTGGCTGTGRTGCTGGGGGTCGGGTCTTGGGGGTCTGGACAGCTCTGGGGTGGGTGGGTTGTTGGTTCTGGTTCCTGGTGGCCCTCTATCCTTCCGTGGCCTAGAGCTTCCTGGGCTTGGCGGTGCTGCTGCCATCTGTATGCCAGTCTCGCCACTGATGCCTGTGCCCACTCCCAAAGGCTGCTTGTAGACATTTAGGGTTTTGGACTAGAGTTGAGGTGGGGGAGAACTGGCACTGCCTAGTCTCAATCGAGTAGGGGTATGTGCCGGCCYCCGCCCCTTCTGTCCCATTTTAATAGCACAATAAAACAACACGCATCAACAGCACATCTGAGGGTGGAGGTGTGTGTTTGGGTCTTTTTCACTCCACTGTTCCTCATTTGCCATTTGGGGTTGGGGTCTGAAGGAGGGGCAGACCGTCTGGTAGGGGACTGGGCTGTGGTTGGTTCGGGGCTTGGTGGGGTGCCGGGGATGGGTCTGGTATTCCGGTTGGTGACTGGTGCCGGCTCGGCCTGGTGGGGCTTGGGTCCTCTGGCCCTGTTGGATCCTGGCTGGGGTGGTGTGCCCTGGGGGAGCCTCTGTGTCCATAGCCAGATCTGCTCCGGCTTAGTGGGTCCCGGTGGGGTCTGTGGGCTCGTTGCTGCTGGCCCCGGGGATTACTGCATGGGCTACTGGGGGATCTCCAGTTCTCTCCTCTGGTCCACTCTGAGGGGAGGGTAAGCCGGTTGTTCCTGCGCCAGCGCCCCTGGGGGGCTCCGCGCTTGGGGTCCCTCTCGGGGTCTTTGGCTCTGGTCTTCCTTATGTCTGCCTCAGGCCTTGGAGGTCAGGTCCGTGGGTCTCCACAGCCACTATTAAACATTTCAATGGAGAAACGTTGTGTGTACCTGCTCACAACCGCACACACAGGTGTTCAGATCCAGGTGTTTCTTAGATACATTCTATGTTGGGTCTGCGTTGTCCACTAAGTGTGTGTGTGTGTGTGTGTGTGTGTGTGTGTGTGTGTGTGTG